ACAAGACCCCAAAATAGATATATATATATATATATATATATATATATATATATATAAATTATATTTATATATAATTTAGATGCTTATAAGTGAAGTGGATTCAAACAAACCGACAGGTTCTTTTTCAAAGCTGTTATTGTTTTCACTGGCTTTCAAGGGGCTGTGGGGTCAAAGTCGAATGTTTACAGTGCTAAGTTAACAAAGGGAATGAACAGTATTGAGAACACAGTTATCACACAGGGTGGGGGGGTCAAAGGTGGAGTAGATGCTGAGCTTGAAAGACGTCTGAGGTACATGGTGTTGGGGGGGCATTAACTCAATTCTGAACCCTGGGACGATGAGAAGGCAGCAGTCCTGCTTTAAAACGCAGCGTGTTTTTCAGGAACGTTTAATTTTTTTTTTGTTTCTTTTTAATTCAGTCTTTCAGCAGTTGTAAACACTTTATAGACCTTTATTCTATCCATCCGCTGCTGCTCGCTTGGTACACGCACAGGCAGGTGTAAAGCACTGGCCAGCTCTCTCATATTGCACTACACACGTTCTACATCACATACACCCTGAGCTTTCCAGAAAAAGGGGAAAAGCAACAGTAGCTTTCTGGCAAAGGCACAGTTCTCCCTCCGACAGAAGGCAAAGACACGGGAGTGAAAGTCCAAATAGTTAACGTTACCATTGCTTTCCTTCAGCACGAGTGAAACAAGAGTTAAACTTTGACTCGGGCGCATGAATGCAGGGAGACTAACCGTACTTTTGCCAAAAACGTCCTTGTTTTTGTTCCCCTTCCAAACACTTGACAGATGTCAACCTCAAACAGGTGATACATTAAAGAGAACACAACCATTGTAAAAATGTTCCTTAGGCGATGTGTTGTTGTACAAAAGGAGAAGAAGTTCATTTCATCACTTATTTATTCACCCTTAACAATAGCGTTAGCCACATGTTCAACGTCTAAAAAATCAACAGCTGATGTTAGTGTTAAAGCCAGGTTAGAAGACAGATACTTAGTCTTAGCACATTCTCTTCCAAAGCCATCCCACTGGCGGTACTGGATGGTACTGAAACAAATGTACAGGAAATGTGACCATGCTTTTCATCATCATTGGGCAAAGATGGTTGATAGTGCTTACGACTGAAGAAATCTGTTGAAGAAGCCTCATCTTTGGTGTTTCATTTAGTTGGAAAGCCTTTCTAAGTTAGTTGAAAAATAGGTAAAAAAATATATAGAATTTTTATTTTCTATATAAAAATCACCTGAGTTGAGTTACGACATGTCTACCTTCTCCACTAACTGCGTACAAGAAATGAATAAATCTGATTTCTCCGTGGATTGGGAGTCTCTTTGTTGAGCTGTACAGTCATAATACTTCTGTCTGTTTTTATGTATATACCCCATGTACATACATGCGGGGACATTTTGCCCTTGTGTAACGGTAAAAGAGTTCCCTATTGAGTGGGAGGCTAGTTTGAGGGTCAAAGATTTTATTTATTTATTTTTGGTTTTGGATTTAGGATGGGATAAGGGCCAGATTAGAGTAAGGATTAAGATTAGGTGTATAGTTAATGCACTTAAAAGCCTTAGATTTCCTCAAAAATCGACAGTGCGCCTTATAACCCGGTGTCCCTTATGTAGTAATTCTGGTTGCGCTTACTGACCTCGAACCAATTTTATAAAGTCAAACCACACAGCACATCACACATGATGGCACACAACTGAAGCACAATGGGAGCCAACAATGACGTTTAACTCTGTTATCACAATTAGAAGATGCTCAACAACAATTATTACAGTATAGTTGTGAAACCAAAATCCGTGCAACGTCGCGTCGTGCCTCCCAACACCCGGAGACTCTGCGTTGTGTTTTTGTATTGTCGATGTCTAGTGCGATGCAGGACGACTCAGACGCATTCGTGGTCAAAAACTTTATTTCTCCTTTTTTATCGATACAGGAAAAACACTCTCTCTGCAAAACAACAGCCGCACTTCCGCACGGAGCAGCGTCAAAACAACAATACGGTGACCATCCAGAACAAAAATAGTGACAACCGCCTGACTCTGGAGGGGCGAACAACAACAACAGCGCCCTCCTGTGTCCAACTTAGGTCACTACCCTTTTCCACAAATCTCTGTCCCTGTTGATCTGCGAGTCCATGAGTCAAAACCCAAGTGAAGCAAACTAATTCGGGGCTGGCCATCAATCCGGGTGGATTGACCAAAGAATTCCAACCACTAAATATTGGTGTTAACAGGGCGTTTAAAGTTAAATTGCGAGCTGCGTGGTAGCATCGGATGACAGAAGGCAAACACACATTCACCAAGACAGGGATGCAACGCCGGGCGAATTACGCCACTATCTGCCAATGGATCGTGGATGTCTGGGCTAAGGTATCAGTCTCAAATGTTGTCCGAGCTTTCACGAATGCCGGAATCATCACTGAACAACTAATTAACAGCAAC